GCATGTTAAGCCAGTTCGTTTGTGGTCGTTTGTTACAGCAGTACGCGCTCCGCAGGATCTCCAGCACTCGCCATCTGGTTTCTTTTCCTCCCTTTGCTTTTTCTAGAAAGAATTGCCTCGGGGGCTCTTCAGGTCTCCTTCCAAACAGCAGCACAGATTTCACCGTCCACCGTCACTGGACTAGCTGCAGGGTCGGGGGGCGAGGGAACCGAACTGTTGCAACACAGAGACCCCAACATACAGTGGCTTAAATAAGGTAGATGATTTTTCTCCTCCATAATGAAAGTTGATTTGCAAAGTTTGTAGCAGTCGGGGGAACGCAAGCTGAAAACAGTGAGTTCAGGCATACAGGTGTACATGTTTGAACAGCCGTCCTGCCGGGACACTCCAGCCAGACTGCACTGCTGGGACAGCTGTGCTCAGGAAGACCATTCAGGGACCCACATTCTGTTCTTTCCATTGAGCTACAGTCCCCTGGGGAGCCTGCTAAGAATGCAGAACCCAGATCCCATCCCAAACTTTCTGAAGCCAAATTTACCTTTTAAGAAGGTACTTAGGGAATTGTTCTGCGCAGAGTTTGAGAAAGGTGGCTTTACGGTAAGGCTCTTCCCCTTACCGTACAGTGCTGCCTGTGGACGTTTAGGGTCAGGAAAGTCTTTGTGGTGCGAGGATGTTCTTTCTTTCTGTACATTGAAGGATGTTCAGCAGCCTCTCCAGATGCTGGTAGTTAACTCCTCACCTCTCGTTTTAATAGCCAAAAATGCCTCCAGGCATTGCCAGGTGCCCCCTGGGGAGCAAATTTGCCTGTGATTGAGTGATAACCCCTGCCTTAGAGGGTTATTCTTCTGCGTGATCAGAGCTGAGACTTCCCCTCACCATCTACCTTCCATCAGAGAGGGTGGAAGTTCAGGAAGCAATTTCCTCTTAAGCACGTGGGGCGGAAGTGACTCTCACGACTCCTGGTCTCGTTCTGTTGGTGAGAATTCCGTTGCATGGCCACATCCAACTGCAGAGAGTCTGCAGAACATACGAGTGTTTCTGTGCCCAAGGAGGAGGGGAAAATGAGTCTGGGGGACAGTCAGCAGCTTGCTCAAGTGACTGACACAAGAATATGGTCATACTATACGTCTTTTTATTCTCTTCTTTCTAGAAGGGAATCCAGTTGGGAGAATGATAAATCGAGTAGGCGTTAACATTTTTTGCTTGTTTGTCTTTTGCAATTGGAACACAGAACTATTTTAGGAGGTCACAGGAAATTTTACAGGGACATGTAAAATTTACGTGATTCTCTAACAGTGTATTTTGATATCAAAAGTTCGGTATCTTCTAAACATCAGCTGTAAGTATTATTCTTGCAGGGTTTTTTTTCCCCATATAGATATAGTTGCCTATAATGACTGTTTCACATGAAAAATAGTATTTTTCTTCAATATTTGTAAAGATTATCTCATTAGTATAAATGTGTTTGATGAGCTGGAGACATACATGCATACGCACGTTTGTGCGTATAGATTGCTGCCTACCTGTCTTTGTATCTGTCGATCTGCCTTGGCACCTACGCTCATCTCTTGCCCAGACTGCTGTGGAAGACTTCTAGTCTTGTTTCTGCTAACGCTCTTGACCTCGGTAGTCTGCTCTTTACACAGTGACTAGCGTAAGTGCTCCTCTTAGAACAGAAAGCAGACCACATCACTCTCCTTCTTTCCATTTTCCAATGGCCTTTTGGAAAAAAATTCCAAGTGCTGATCTGCAAGCCCCCCTATGGAATCTGGTCCACCTCTTCAACTACATTCACTTGCCTTCTTCCCTTTGCTCCTTTGTCTGAGTCCCACGAGCATCCTTGCTGTACCCTGAGAAACCAAACGTGGCCATGACTCAGGGTTTTTGCACTTGCTGCTTCCTCTGACTAGGTTTTTTCCTTAGGTAACTGCTTGACTCGCCTCTTCCCTTCATTTGAGCCTCTGCTCAACTGTCCCTCCTCAATATGCCCTTTTCTTATACTACCTGGACTTCTTTGTGTACTCCTAGTGGTAGGAGTGCCAGTCATTGGAAAATGCTGGTAAAAACGGTGTTACCACTAATATTTGCTTAATTCCATGGTTATTATGCCCCCACTCAGATTTCTGGTGTCTTAATTTCCTGGTTCTTAATCCCCCTATCCTGAAGGGAAGATCTAGTTCTGATCAAAATGACCGTGACCTTGCTGGGGTCCATTTAAAAGATGTTCGACTCTCAGCTACCCCTGCAATTTAAGGACACCGCCACTAGGTGGTGGTGATGTGACATGCAGACTTCAGAGTAAGGCGTTTCCTGAGATGAAAGATGTGAGTGGCTTCAGGCTCCTCCCCCCCTGGGTTAACCCTGCCTATCTTGCCCCTGTAAAATAAGATGCTTTATAAAAGGTTCGCTTTCAGTAAACAGTAAACAAACCTCAAAGCAGATGCTGGGAAGCAAGTTTAAAACAAACAAGCTCAAATACAATTGGCTATCTTTTTTCTCTACCCACTTCTTAGCCAGTTTTAAAAATTAGTGTTCAGATGCAGAGAGGATATTGCCAGGCAGCACTTTTCTTTCCTTCTTGGCTATGAGTGTCTGAATGTGGACAAAATGAACATACCAGGTTTCCATAAATGTATGTTAAGGCATTTAATATTAGAAATTATTATTACAACATATATGCCAGATATTAAATAGGTAACACTACCCATTTGGACCCTGAACATCGCGTGGCGATTTCAACCAACACAAACCCCATGACCTCACCCAGAACCACTGATTTTCTTATTTAGAATACAGTGTGAGTTTGTTCTAGACTTACTGATTCTCATTCACTTATGAATTGCTGCATTGAAAGTTCTTCCTTTTAGTTTGCCTTCAGCTTCTGAGCATGGTGCTCCCGGATTTCTTGGGATTGTGTCTCTTTCCAGTCTCTTTACTTCTCATCCACCAGGAGGAAGAAGTTGCCCCCCATCATAATATTTTAGAACACGTTTAAAGAAAATCTTCCTTTGATTTGAAGCTCTGCTGTGGAACTCTGT